ATAAGGTTTCAAGTGTACAATTCAATAAAACATCATCTGCACAGTGTCTCTTGCACCCATTGCCCCAAGCAAAGCTGCTCTCTATATACATTTTCTCCCTTTGCCCACCTCCACCTACCTCTCACCCTCCTTTTCTTCTGGCTATCACCATATTGTTGTTTGTGTCTTTGTGTTATGTATATATGTTTTTTTGCTTAATCCCTTCACATTCTTTCATCCAGTATCCCCCACTCTGCCCTCTAACAGCTGTCAGTCTGTTCCATGCTTCTGTTTCTATTTTTTTCATTAATTTATTTATTAGATTCCACATATAAGTGAGATTATGGTATTTATCTTTTTCTGGCTTACTTACTTTACTTAACTTAATGTTCTCTAGACCCATCCATGCTGTGGCAAAAAGTAAGATTTCCATCTTTTTTATGGCCAAGTAGTATTCCATTGTGTAAATGTACCACTGCTTTTTTATCCACTCATCTACTGATGGGTACTTGGGGTGTTTCTAGATCTTGGCTATTGTAAATAATGCTGCAATGAATATAAGAGTGCATATATTCTTTTGAATTAGTGTTTTGAGTTTCTTAGGATATATTCCCAGAAGTGGGATTGCTGGGTCAAATGGACTTTGGTTCTTGTGTTCTTGAGGGAAATATTTCAATCAAGAGACAAAGTGTAGAAAAGCAAGGAGGAATTTATTGACTGCAGCAAAAACATTCTAGGACTGTGAAATAAGGAAGGTCATACAAGAGCAACAGGAGAACTGAGGCTGGGCTACTTTGGCTCATTGGGAAATCAAAGAAAAGGGGCCTTGAAGACAAGTTCAGGAGGTTAGCCCGGGATGAGATGCCGCTGCCCACTGCTTCCTCGGTTGCAAGTCTCATGAGGTCCCTTAGAGGTTAGGGGACATGTACCTGTGGGGGAAGGAGAGGAGCAGGGGGAAGGGAATGGCATGGGCACTGGGACTTTCATTTTCAGGGGTTTCAAAGGCTGGGTGTTTAAGGGAGTTCTTAGGGGTGTATCAATAGAACAGTCATCAGTTTTATGCTGATATACCAAAAAATGAGCTTTATTTTCTTAATTTGTCTGTATTTGGGTGTGGTTGGCAAATGGCACTTAATTGAATTTCTATTATTTGTCTCCCTGAATAGGGTGATTTAATCTATCAACCCTCTGGTTAGGGAGAAGTGCAAACCATTTACTCTTAAGTATCCTTGGTTTAGGGAAGATAGAATTTACTAGGTGGCTGAAAACTGCTGTTTAACTATCTGTCTTAGTGTCCCTATTCTACTTCTCCTGGAATTTTCCTAGCTGCCTACTGTATCATTATCTAAACTACGTAACAAATGCATATTTATTTATTCATTTTTTCTGAAATTTAATAAGAGTTTATTTGAGCCAAACTAACAAAATATGCCAGGGAGCAAGATCTCAAATGCTCTGGAGAATAACAATTTTTTAAATACATATTTTTAAAAAAATAATTTTTTTCAATTAGTTGACATACATTATAGTAGTTTCAGATGTACAACATAGTGATTAGACATTTATATAATTTATGAAGTGATCACCCCCAAAAATGTACCCATATGACAACATATATAGTTATTACAATATTATTGACAATATTGCCATACTTCACATCCCCGTGACTATTTTGTAATTACCAATTTGCACTTCTTATAATTCTTCCTCCTTAACAAATACATAATTTTAAGAAAGAAGAGTCAGATTTCCTATCTATTGTCTTGAACAGATTTTCATATCTTATTTTAGAGAGAAAGGCAAGTTGTAGAAGAAATAAGACACAGTTATGGGCCTCTTAATGATGGGGATGCATTCTGAGAAATACATCATAAGTGACATCATAGAGTGCACTTTAACAACCTACATCAGTGATGGCGAACCTATGACACGCGTGTCAGAGGTGAAACACGAACTCATTTTTTGGTTGATTTTTCTTTGTTAAATGGCATTTAAATATATAAAATAAATATCAAAAATATAAGTATTTGTTTTACTATGGTTGCAAATATCAAAAAATTTCTACATGTGACATGGCACCAGAATTAAGTTAGGGCTTTTCAAAATGCTGACACACCGAGCTCAAAAGGTTCGCCATCACTGACCTACATGGTATAGCCTACTACACACTTAGGCTATATGATGTAGCCTATTGCTCTGTAGAGGAGAAAAACATAATTTCCTCTCTACCCTGCTGGGTTCTTGACAAGACATCTCTGTATTAGAAGATTAACAGGAGAAAAAGAAACAAAAGTTTAATAACATGTATACCTCCTATATACATGGGAGAGACTGTAAAACGGAATAACTCACCAAAATGGCTGAAGCCACCACCTTAAATACCACCCTTAGCTAAAGACAAAATAAGATATTGGGGGTGGAAGGAGTCAGTTATGGGAGGTTGCCAGGAAAATCGTAATAAACAGAGAAAAGTAAGGTTGTTATGTAGATTTTATATCTTTGTCTTCTGCATTGGTAAGAGTCTCTTGAGATAAGGAGGGAGACACCCTTACAAACGGAAGTTTCCCTTACTAGTGTAAATGTCTCTTACAATGAGTAACTTCTACTTGGTTTTCAAAGACATTATTTTTGTATTACAAATTCTGTTCCCCTAAGCTACAAACCTGCACAGCATATTACTGTACTGAATATTGTAGGCAATCTATAATAATAAAAGGGTAATATGCTAATTAGACCGGTTGTCCTTCCAGGCATCATTCTGGATGTCCTACTGGACGAAAATGGGGCCTGGGTCTCGGGTACCTGCCCCTGGTTGGAGGGAAGCAGCCTGGGTCCTGGGTGCCAGAGGGAAGCCGGTGCTGGCGGAGGGGGGGTGGGGGGGGAGGGGAGGGGGGAAGAAGGCCTACTCTTGCACAAATTTTCTTGCATCAGCCCTCTAGTTGTAACATAAAATAGTATTTGAGGATTGCATTGTGATAAAACATGAAGCCAGCTTGTAAGTCACAAGGGATAGGAATTTTTCAGCTCCATTAAAATCTTAAGGAACCACCATGGTATACGAAGTTATTAGTTGACTGAAATATCTTTATGCAGCTCATGACTATATTTGATGCTATTTTTAAGAAAAATTATTAAGACTGAAAAGTAAATCTTACCTAGGATATATTTTTGTAGGGGGTTGGATTAAGCCAAAGGAGTAAGGTAGAGGCCAGAGAAGGGAAGAGGAAAAGTTAAACAATGAGCATTCACCGCGCCAGCGAGGCCCCGCCCATCAAGCCCAGGTCCCGCCCCAACCCCCGCCCATTGGACGTAAACTCTGTCCCCAGCCCTGTCCATTCCCCCAACTCCACTCTCCGGTCCTTCTGACCCAACCCCATAGCCTTATCTCACCCCCTCAGGCAATTAAACTAGAATTTCTCCTCTCCTCCGAGGTTGGACGTGTAAGTCAACCGCCCAGCACTTGTCTGAACCTTCTCTGGACCTGAGAACCAAAGCCCCGGCTACTTCCGCTCCCGGGGCCCCAAGACCGGAAGCGGAAGTGCGCTGGGGCAGCAGCAGCGGCGGCGGCGGCGTCTAGCTGCCCTGCAGGGACCTCGCGGCGTGCTGCGGTGGGGCGTGTGTCTTCCGGTTTTTGCGGGTGCGGTCTGGCCGCTCGGAAGGGCGGGGAGGGCCCCGAGGGGCCGGGCGGCCTGGGACAGCTGCCCTGGCTGAGGTGCTTCCTCCCCGTGGTTGCCTCGGGGCCGGGATGGATTGAGTACCGTTCGGACTCGCAGCCGCGTCCCCAACTTCACCGGCCGGGTACCTCGTCCCCAGGTAACCCCCTTCCGGCAGACGGGACTCATCCATCTACCAAAAGGGAAATCGCGAAGTACAGTGCAGGTCCTGCAGCTCAGGAATGGTGACACCGGCCAGCCCCAGTTCACCGGGCTCCCCGGGTTTATAGGGCCCTACCCTGTCGTCCTTATGCAAGATAACTGTGCATAAGCAATTCCCGTTTTATTTAATGTGACATTTCATAGTACTATCCAGCTCGGCAATGGGAAAGTTCGGTCTAAGTCTACATGTACAAATTGGTTTGAATGACTTGTCAAGTAAATTTTTAAAAATGGAATGCATCTTCTATCAAGGGATGAACTAGATGACGATTTTTTTATTTTTTATTTGTGACTGGCGATTTGCAGTTCCTAAATTTAGGACCTGTTAACGGTAGCTTTTGTTGCCTTTTCCTTTCATATCTCTTCCTTCTTTTCTTTCTTTTATTTTTAAAATGTATTTTTATTGATTTCAGAGAGGAAGGGAGAGGGGGAGAGAGAGATAGAAACATCATTGATGAGAGAGAATCATCGATGGGCTGCCTCCTGCACACCCCACACTGGGGATGGAGCCCGCAACCTGGACATGTGCCCTGACCGGGAATCGAACCCTGACCTCCTAGTTCATGGGTCGATGCTCAACCACTAGCCACACCGGCTGGGCTTTTAATTTGTGACTTTGTGAATGTCAGTTTTTTTTTTTTTTTCCACTGCAAGGTGAGGGTGTCTTAAGAAAAGCTATTTCTCAGTGATGTCACAAATCTTATCAAGGAAAAGTAAGCGATTCAGTTCTCAATTACCCCAAGCCTGTAAGTACCACAAGCTTCAAAACATGGGACTCCAGGAAAAAGATGACATAGTTTTGTTAGTAATGGGAATTGAAATTGAGTTGGCCATAAATGGGATGTCTTCTTTTAAATTTTTATTTTAAATAATAGGGTTAAAGTTCACTCTACTCAGAAATGAGGAAAAAAATAATTCTGGAGGAAAACTAAACATCAGATTTCAATTTTATGAGTGAGATGTTTGTTTTCAGAAAGAATACATGTCTCACCTTGCCTTTTTAGAAAGAATCAACATTACTTAAAGACATCTGAAGTCTCTTGTGGATTGTATTATATGAACAGGCATTTTAAAAAAAACTTTATTGTTGAGAGTATTACTGATGTCTCCCTTTCTTCCCCCATAGCTCCCCTCCACCTGGTTTCCACCCCACCCCAGGCCTTCACCACCGTACTGTCTGTGTCCATAGGTAAGATCTTTGGTTAATCTCTTCCTGTCTCCCCCCCCCCCCCCCCCCCAGGTTCATCAGTCTGTTCTATGCTTCCATTCCTCTGATTCTATTTTATTCACCAGTTTATTTTGTTCATTATATTTCTTGTTCGTTTATTTTGATTTTTAGAGTCAGTTGTTGATATGTATTTGTTGCCTAAACAGGCATTATACTATTAAGTCATTTTTTTTTTTTAGGTTTTGATTTTTTTTAATTAAATCTTTATTGTTCAGATTATTACATTTGTTCCTCTTTTTTCCCCCCCATAACTCCCCTCCTTCCAGCTCCCACCCCACCCTCCGCCCTCACTCCCCACCCACTGTCCTCATCCATAGGTGCACGATTTTTGTCCAGTCTCTTCCCGCATCTCCCACACCCCTTTTCCCCCCAAGAATAGTCAGTCCATTCCCTTTCTATGTCCCTGATTCTATTATAATCACCAGTTCATTCTGTACATCAGGTTATTTATTCACTTGATTCTTAGATTCACTTGTTGATAGATGCATATTTGTTGTTCATAATTTGTATCTTTACCTTTTTCTTCTTCTTCCTCTTCTTAAAGGATACCTTTCAGCATTTCATATAATAGTGGTTTGGTGGTGATGAACTCCTTTAGCTTTTCCTTATCTGTGAAGCTCTTTATCTGACCTTCAATTCTGAATGATAGCTTTGCTGGATAAAGTAATCTTGGTTGTAGGTTCTTGGCATTCATCACTTTGAATATTTCTTGCCACTCCCTTCTGGCCTGCAAAGTTTCTGTTGAGAAATCAGCTGACAGTCGTATGGGTATTCCCTTGTAGGTAACTGAGTTTCTTTCTCTTGCTGCTTTTAAAATTCTCTCTTTGTCTTTTGCTCTTGGCATTTTAATGATGGTGTGTCTTGGTGTGGTCCTCTTTGGATTCCTTTTGTTTGGGGTTCTCTGCGCTTCCTGGACCTGTAAGTCTATTTCTTTCACCAGGTGGGGGAAGTTTTCTGTCATTATTTCTTCAAATAGGTTTTCAATATCTTGCTCTCTCTCATCTTCTGGTACCCCTATAATTCTGATGTTGGTACGTTTGAAGCTGTCCCAGAGGCTCCTTACACTATCTTCGTATTTTTGGGTTCTTTTTTCATTTTGCTTTTCCGGTTGGGTGTTCCTCGCTTCTTCGCATTTCAAATCTTTGACTTAATTCTTGCGCTCCTCTGGTCTGCTGTTGGGAGTCTGTATAATATTCTTTATTTCAGTCAGTGTATGCTTACTTTCTAGATGGTCCTTTATCACACCATCGAGGGTCTCATTAGATTTCCTGTACATCTCATCAAGTTTATCGACAGACTCTAGAAGCCTCTTGAGAGACCTCAAAAGTGTGGTTCTGAACTCAATATCCTCCTTTGATAGTTTTGTCCTGTTTCTTTGTCTCCCCATTTTTTACGCTTTCTTGGTACACCCCCTAGTGGTCTTTGTGCGCAGTCTTGTTGTAGTTAAGCCTTGATTGTTGTAGTTAATACTAGAGGGATTTGACCTCCAGGCCGACTGGCTGTGATCCTATTAAGTCATTTTTGTGGTGTTATATTTTTGTGTGTGCCTGTGTGTGCAGGCATGTGCCACTGTAGGCCAGCTATGCTGAATTGTCCTTGGGGAGTGTTGATGGTTTGGCACATTTTGTTGGAATGCCCTGGATGGACTGGGCCCTGAACAGGGGAAAACAATGCTGCCAAAATAGATATAGTGCTTGTCTCTGTGGAGGTTTTATTCTAGTTGGGAAGACAGATTTTAAATTTATCATGACAAGGGCAATATGGAAACATGGAACAGGAGAACTTTAGGAGGAGGTCAGGAAAAACATTTCAAAAGGGACAAATGTTTGAACCTAAAAGATGAGTTGTATGTAGTTAGACAAGGGATCGGACTGTGAAGTAGGAATGGGGAGGAGTTTTGAGAGCATTTCCAGATGCACAGTCCCTCAGGCAGTACAAAGCCTAGTGGGTTCCAGGATCCAGAAAAGAATGGGAAAGCCAAAGTAGAGGAAACAAAATGTGGAATGGATGAGCCAGGTTGGGGAGGAAGGCATGGCCCTTAAGGTCATTATAAACTTTGGATCTTGTTCTAAGGCCATTGATTGGGAAGCCCCTGAATCAGAATTTTAAGCAGGGGAGTGACATGATTTTATTTGCAATATAGACAGAACAGCAGTTGATGGATGAAGCATGGAGTTTGGGATAGGTGGAGTCGGTATATAGGAACTTGGATACGTTCAGGACTTAGATGATGGTAGTTGGGTCGTGAGGATGCCTGTGGAATTGGGGAAGATGCCGTGTTTGAAACACATGCGAGAGGTAGAATTGAGTTTGGTGATATAAAGCAGGTGTTGGCAAACTTTGGCCTCTGGGCCAAAACTGACCCAATGCTGGTTCCTATAAATAGTTTTATTGGAACGCATTTTTAAAAATGTGTTTTTTTTATGGCTGTTTTTGTGCTGCAACTGTAGTTAAAATAGTTGCTGTAGAGACCATATTGCCCATAAGTCCTAAGATACTTACTGTCTGGCCTTTTACAGTAAAGAAAAAGTTTGCCAACCCTTAGTATATAGAGTATTTAGTATGCATCAAATGCTGTGCTGGTGGTGGGATTTGGGGTCCTGAAAAAAGTGGACATAGTCCTATACTTAGTTTACGTCATGGTTGGAGAGAGGGAGTCAATATCACCTAAACAAATAAATATAAAAATCACAACTGGATAAGGGCAGTGGAGGTTGTTAGAGGTATTTTGAGGGAATATAAGAGAAAAAATGATCCTTTTATTAGGGGAGAGGCAATAGTAGAAACGGTCATCTGCCATGGTCTGAAAGGTGGCGTGGGGCTCAATATGTTGCTTATTGGGTTTTTCACTTGGTCACCCCAATGGTGGCCCACAAAAATGGGATTACCTGAGTCAAACCCCTGTTTGGTGTTCTGCTTCCACCCTCACTCTTCTTATACTCGGTCTCCTTAAATTGCAGGGAGGATGCCTACTGAGACCTTAAACCCGGGGCTGGTGTCACGGTGAGGGGTTGGGGATTTGGGTTGGTGGGAGTAGATAATTAGTAGTCCTGAGCTCTGTCCCCTCTCTCCTCACCATCAGCTAAGGAAGAAAAGGGAAGGGATGTGTGGAACGTCTTCTGCCCTGCTCCAGGGGACCTGGCGACCTCCTTCAGTGCATGACCTCTGGTGGGAAGTGGCTTTGGAGGAGGGGCTCTGCCTACTTCTGGAGTCTGACTGCAGAGTGGGGCTCATTTAGAGCTGGCCGCTGAGTTCCTCTAGGGCAGTGATTCTCAACCTTGGCTGCACATTAGAACCACCTGGGAATCTTTTGAAAATCCTGCCCAGGTGGGACCAAGAGAAGAGCTGAGGGCAGCAGACCGAGGCATTCTTTGTGTCGTGGGTGTGGGTCAGTACCAGGGGACCCAGAGATCTTGTGACCAACCCTATTATGGGTTGGTGCCTGGAAAGTATCAGTCTTAGAGCATTTTAAAGGTCCTCTATTTTTAGGGGAAATAGGCTATTTGGTATGAGGTTTTTCAAGTAAGTTGCGTGAGCTTTTTTCTCTTTTCACATTTTAGCTCTTTGGTTTCAGAAAAAGATATGTTCCTTTTTTTTTGTTTTTTAAGAAAATTTGCGATGTTCACAAACCACAAGATGCAACCTTTTAAACCGTGCAATTCAGTGTTTTTTTTTTAGTATATTTACAAAGTTGTGTTATCACCACTACTGAACTCCAGAATATTTCCATCATCTCGAAATGAAACCTATGCCTGTTATCAGTCACTCCCCACTCATCTCCCTCCAGCCCTTGGCAACCATTGATTTGCTTCCTATTTATATGGATTTGCCTGTTCTGGACATTTCATATAAATAATCATATAACATGTGACCTTTGTTATGTCATATTTCACTCAGTATAACATTTTTGAGATTCATCCATGTTGTAGCATGCATCATTCTTTCCATTGTATGGATGGACCACATGTTGTTTACCCAATCAGTTATTGATGGACATTATACTTTTTGGCAATGTGAATATGTTGTTGTGAACATTCATGTACAAGATTTCATGTGGACATGCTTTTAGTTTTCTTGAGTATATCCTTAGGAATGAAGTTGCTGGGCATATGGTAACCCTATGTTTAACTTTTTGAGGAACTACCAAACTGTTGTCTAAAAACAGGTGTACCATTCTCTGTTCCCACCAGTGGTGGATGAAGGTTTTGATTTCTCTACATCTTTACCCACAATGATTATCCAATTCCTCTTCAAGTTAAACATTTCTATATGTGTTGTCTAATTGCTTCTTACTTGTTTGTCTGATAACATTCTTTCTGGCAACGTCAGTCACATTCTCCATGGAATCTTTTGCTCGGAAAAATAGCCTCTCATTTCCTCCTTGTTCCTGTCGCTTCCAAATTCCATATACAGCTCTACTCGCTTTGCTCACTGATACCTTCTTTCCTTTCAGTACCTCCCCAAGTTTAGGGTCAATATTAAAAACACATTTTTTTTTCTGTGTCAATTTCATACCACCATTTCTTTCTGAACAAAGTGTCCTCTTTTTGTTTTGTTTACAACTCATTTTAGATTGGGAATCTCAATCTAAATCCAAAGAGTCTACTCCTATGCAGGATATTTTGGAGGAAAATTCATCTCATGATTTGCAAAAGGTAAGATTCACGGCAGGTGATCCTTTATTCCCTCTCATTGGAGAAGTTGATGATACGTCGGTTGGAAATGCACCCCAGGGCCAGGGAGACATTTGAGCCAGGACACTTCCTCAGGAGCATCCCCCACAGTGTTGAAGAGGACACTGTGACTATGACTGTTCACACAATCCATGACTCATTAATGTGGGTGAACTCCACCTTTGTTGCTTAAGACTCTTTCTTCATAGACAGTTCCTCCAAGTAAGCATTCCCATTGGTGTGAGTCAGACATCGATTGTGTGAAATGTGATTTATCTGCAGCAGTCATGAGAGACATGCTGTCTGTTAGGGCAGCCCCAGGACAGTTATAAATGTGAGAGAGCCTGGTGGTGGAGCCTGCAGTGTTTTCGAAGAACTCAACCTGTGTAAACAAGGTGCACCTCTTCAAATGCTGAAGACGTACCTCTGTTGGGAGCATCCCTGGGTGCGGCAGAGATGCTGGAGAGCTTTTCATCATCATCCACCCCTTGTCAGGAGCAAACTTTGCCTGGAGAGAAGACATCTGAGGATTTAACTGTGGTGTGAAAGGCTTCTGGAGGAACCATACCTGGACATGAACAAGAGACCCACAGGAGAGAGGGCCACACTGGTTATAAAGAGCGTGGGAAAGTTGTCAGGGATCCCTCCCTGCTTCGGAGACAAGTTGAGACCCCAGACTGCAAAGAAGCCCTTTTCAAAGTGGAGAAGAACCTTCAGAACCAGCTTGTACATTACAGTGTACGAGAAGATACACATGGAGCCCCTCCATCCCCACTTTGGCTCTGAGTTCCTGCTTTCTCAAACTGCAGGAGCTTCCGAAATGTGGGTTCCCATTGTTGGGAATTTTGAGGGTTAGGGTTTAGGTAGAGGGACACACAAAGCCCAGCTTCAACCCTGGACTGGGCCTACTTGTCCCAGAGTCAGTGAGTTCTCTGGGTTTCCTCAGTCTGCACACCTTTCCCTCTGTTATGGATGGTGTTGACCTCTGTGCATCATAGATGCTGGCCCAGGGGAAGGGGTGGCGTGGCCTGGGTTGTAGAGACCTCTGTCCTGTTCCTGTGCCCTAGGCATGGGGAGCCTCACCCTGCATAGCCTGGTATGGGCTGCCGGGCAGCCAAAACCCTTACCCTGCACAGCTTGCAACAGACCCCAGGGCAGCTGAGACCCCCTCCTCCCCAGGTCCTCGATGTCCTTGTCTTACATTCTTGTTTAGTAGAGGATGTCTTCCAATAGCTGCTTGGCAAAGGGCATGTGCTTTTTGAGAACTTGAGATCTGCAAATGTGTTATTGGAGCTGCTGGATTGCAGGGGCCTCATCTGCCAGGATCGGTGCAGTAACCCCTTACAGAGCATTCCTGGAGCTCTCGATGTTTGCTGACTGTAGGAATGAACAGATAGGTGCTGCTGAAGGCATCTCCAGGCCCTCACCGTCTCCATGTTTTGACTGGCAGGTGGACTGTGGGAGGAGGAAGGATGCCACAATGGGCAGGTCCTCTCTGGTTTCTGTGGCTCTTTCCTCTCAGCATGGGGCTCCAGCACCTTCCACAGAACTCCATTCCCGATCAGTAGTGAGCACCGAGTGTGGGAGAGGAGGGGTCTCCTGCTGCATCTGAGCCCCAGGAAATAGGCAGTCACAGAATGTTCTGAGTGGGCAGAGGAGATCCACTTCCAGACACATGTAGAGAAGTTGAGCAGTTCATCTCTAAGACACATCAGCCACAGGTGGTCGAGTTGGATTTGGAGGTGGGAGTTGAATGCAGGCCTAACTCCTTAGACCACCATCTCCAGAGGCAGAAGGGAGAGAGGGAAGAGTGTAGGTCAGAGCCTTTATTGGGGTTTGCACAGGGCAGAATAAACAGGATTGGCGAGTTTGAATAATTCTGGGGGACCTGGTTGTCTGGCACCAGGTCTGGGTGCTTTAGGATGGGGGAGTATTGGCTTGTATGAGAAGTGGCTAGGGAGGTGGTTCTTGGTGGCATGGGAAACGTAAACAACTGGCCGGTAATTTGGCCCTATGATTGGTGGATGCCAAATATACAAACACAGAATCTAAGAAAACACAGACCATGGTTCATACTCAGAACCGAGGGCTTCCAACCTTTCTGTGGTCAAACATCCTGTAGTGCCTCTGAGGGCTTGTGGCCTCACCTCCAGCCAGGGCCCCCCGAAACCAGAAGGGGTCAGGTCTGTCGTGATCTGCCCTTGGAGACCCTTGGTGGTGGCTGGTGCCTTCAGTGGAGTAAAAGAGTCATCAGGTCTGAAACTGCCAGACCCACGTGCCCCAATTTCTGACTTCACTATTCATAAACCAAGGGTCTCTGAGGCCAAGAAAAACCTCAGCTACCTTTGTCCTGATCAGCATTCTCTACTTCTTTTCTTAGGGGCCAGGGCTTGATTTGAGGATGCAGATCCGGCCCATGATGGGAGAGAGGGAGATACTTTCACCTCCAGAGGACCGGCCACCTCTCTGGGAGTCACCTTGGCCTTCTGGATACACAGTAAGTTTGGGAGGGGGTTTGCTGCGGGGGCCTCCGCCCGTAAGGCCAGGGTTTAGGATTTTTGTAAATGAGGAGGCCAGAGGGGAAGAAGCATCTAGGGCCCTCTGTTGGAAACCTGAACATGCTGGAGGCCCAGGCTTAGCTCCTAGTAAGAACTGAACAGGCCCTAGCATTTCTGCATGGAAGGCAAACCTCGAAGGTGGCAGGTGGCAGGATTAGCACTCTGAACTTGCCTTTTTTGGTCCAGCCTTTCTTCCTCCCAATCTTTCCACCCTCACAAACATCAGGAAACCTATAGGAATGAGCAGGTCCGGTGATCTAAGGGCTGGGTTAGGAGTGTCCAGGCTGATGACTGAGAGTATCAGAAGGGGACACTTTCCTGAGGAGAAGGGGCCTCCCACCAGCCCCTGCCCATCACCTGCCCTCAGAGACTTGTGCATTTATTTCCCATCCACCACCAAGTCCTGCGAGCTTTTCTGCCAAGCCATAACCTACTTTTGACTGCCTTCCTGTCCCCCCTGCTACCACCCTTCCTGGAGTCACCAGGAACTGCTTTTAACAGACTCCTGCTTCCACTGGTCCCACTCTGGGCATAGAGGCCAGCAGCATCCCTTAGAAGTGCAGGTCAGGTTAGGTACCTTTCCAAAGAGAGCAGCTACCAGTAGAGAACCATTCAAATCCTTTCTTCCACAACAGGGCTTCCTTCCTAACTCCCCTCATTTTCATGGGTTCATGCCCTCTACCCCTACCCCTCAACCTGCTGGCACCCACTGCTAGCTTTGCTCCAGCATTTCCCCCACAGCTGGAGGATGCTCAGAGGAGGCCTCCTCCACGGGGGCCCCTTCTCTCTATCCTTGGAGTTGCAGTTCTAACACAGTGATTAGCCTTGTCCTGAAGAATTGGGTAATTCTGGGCAGGTAATCAGGGCATGTCCTCATATCAAATGTTCTCCAAATCAGGACCAGTCATGAGAGTTCAGTCAGTGAGCAGGTGTGAATGGATCCCTTCCATCACCATGTGACTCTAATCTGTCCCTGTCACTCTGTCCAGGGACTGAAGGCGGCTATACAGATTCAGGGGGTTGCCACGCTGGAGCCTGCACTGGGCCTTCCTGACCCCTGGGCGGCCAAGGGTGAGTGAGTCCTGGTGGAATCACAGTCAGAGGGCTTGGCTGTCCTGTGGGAACTTGCATCTCCAGCCTTCATTTCCTCTGATGGCAGTCAGAATACTTAAAGACCTCTCTCATTATCTGTGTGTTCAAGGGGAAAGACATTTCACAGTTCTCAGGTTTTTGTTTTTTTGGGTTTCAGATCTTTCTGTTTTGAAAGAACAGGTTCTAGTGTCAACAACAAACATGCTTTTTAACCAAAGGAGCTATTGTCATAAAACAATTGATATAGCCCTGGCCAAGTGGCTCAGTTGATTGGAGCATTGTCCTGTATGTCAAAAGGTTGCAGGTTCGATCCCCAGTCTGGTCATCTATGGGAGGCAACCAATTGATGTTTCTGTCTCTCTCTTTCTTTTTTTTTTTTTTTCTCTCTCTCTCAAATATATCCTCAGGTGAGGATTAAGATAATTGATATTAAAAAATTGATATATTAAAAAAAAGAGCAGGCCCCACTCAGCTGGCCAGACCTCTCTTTAGGAGAGATACAATTATGTAAAAGGCACATTTCCTGAGAAGTAGGGGAAAAAATTCTGGAGGACAGACAGCATCTTAACTTTAATTGCAGGCACTGGATTACATCATAATTACTGTGTCAAGTAGTTTGGCCAGATATTGTGCTGTTTGGAGAGAGGATTTCAGGCCTAGGAACAGCTTCTGTAAAACCCCTCAGGGCCTGGTATACCCAGGGGCGGGCCCATGGGAGGCTGTGGTAGGGGCAGAGGGAAGTGGAGAGTGGTATGAGCTGACAAGAGTGAATGGGCTCCAGATCATTTAGGGCCTGGAAGCGTGGGAACAGAACCCTGGCTCATGTCCTAAGGCTACTGAGAGTAGGGGCGCATTTAGGTGAGTGGTACCGTGCACCTAACAGAACTCACAGCACCGGGGAGGATGATGGGCTTCAGAGAAGATGTGAGTGGTGGATGAAGGCAGTTAGGAATGGAATGGTGGTGGCCTAGAGCTGGGGCGAGTGCCCTTAAGACAATTCCATGGTTTGGTGACTTCCTAGGAAGTCTCATAGGGCACAGCATATAGTTGTATGCGTGGCTATGGTTTATCACAGGGAAAGGATACAAAGCAAAATCAGCCAAGGGAAAAGGTTAATGGGGTGAAGTCTGGAGGGAACGAGGCACAGCTTCCAGACTCCTTTCCCAGCTGAATTACATGGGAAGCACTTAATTCCCCTCAGTGGGCTGGGACAACACATGCAAAGTGTTGTCTGCCAGGGAGGCTCATTAGAGACTCAGCACCCAGGGTTTTCACTAGTGGCTGGGCATGTAGGCACCCTCTGCCCAGAACATATGTACGTTCCAGACTCCTAGAAGGGAAGCAGGCATTCAGCACAAACTACACTGTACAGACTGTTTAAGCAGAGTGAACTACTCTTATCAGGTAGGGTGGTGGGATCCCTCTTGAAATCCAAGTTTCCAGACCCCAGCCAAGGTCCAACTTTGCCATCAGGCCTTGCTAAGGAGCACTCTCAAGCCTTCTATGTTAACTTTTATCTGCACGGTAGGTAAGCATGGAACATTCATTCTAAGACACGTAGGAGGTCAAATTGAGACAATTTGATGAGTAGTATGTACATTCATTTACCAGATGATCCAGAGCATTTATGTGCCAAATGCCGTGCGGGGGACAGGGTTGTGACATCTAAGTCTTGAGGGTGTGACATTTAAGTGGATCCAGGAGGGAGAAAGGTATGATGTGGCATTAGCCATGGTGAGGACAGGGTTAGGGGGAAAGGAAGTGGGTGGGTGGAGTTGGGGAGAGGTGGGTGCTTCAAGTAGAGATGTCACTACTGATTTATTTTTGGGGGGATTAATTTTTGGGGTCTGTAGAGTGTCAGAGAGGGGAGAGATTTCATTCTGAGGCAGGGATGTCACTTCCTGAGATTGGGAACACTGGAAGAGGAATAGCCTTTGAGAAGAAGGTGGTGAGCGCATTTTGTGTGTGTGTGTGTGTGTGTGTGTGTGTGGGCGGGGGAGGGGGGGTGATGAAACAACAAATTTATATATCATAGTTCTAAAGGCACAGAAGTGTGAAATCAAGATGTCTGCAGGGTGATACTTCCTATGAAATTTGGAGGGGAGGGTTCTTCTTTGCCTCTCTCCTGGCTTCTGGTGGTTGTTGGCATCCTTGGTGTTCCTTGGCTTGTAGATGCATCAGTCCAGTCTCTGCCTGCATTGTCACATGGTCTTCTCCCCTCATGTGTCCCTGTTTCTGTGTCTCTTTTCCTCTTATAAGTACAATTATTGGATTAAGGGCCCACTCTGCTCCACTGTAACTTCATTTAACTAATTACATCTGCAAACACCCTATTTTCAAATAAGGTCACATTCTGAGGTACCATGAGTTAGAACTTCCTCTTTTATTTGGGAACACAATCCAACCCATAACAGTCTGCCCTCTGGCTCCCACAAATTGGTGCCTTCCCCACATGCAACTGTGGTCCCAATGTTCCTCCAATTTTTACCCATTCCAGCAGTCTAAAATTTCATCTAAATCCCATCAACTGAAAAAAGGCCCACATTTTATTATGTAAATCATCCAAATCAGATATGGGTGAGGCTTAGGGTGTGATCCAGCCTGGGGCAAACTTCTCTTTATCTGTGAACCTGTGAAATCAGAAAGGAGATCTCTGCTTCCAGAATACAATGGTGAGGCCTGCTTAGGACAGGCATTTCCATTCCCAACAGGAGAGAAAAAAGGGGTCACGGGTCCCAAGCAAGTTCACAGCCCAGCAGGGCAAGATCAAGGCCTGAGAATAATCCTTGTTCCTTAGAGCTGCCTGCTGGGGCGACAGCCTTGCTTTCTAGCTCATTCTGGATATTCCATTCTTGTTCCCCCAGATAGGTAAGTGGAGAGATTGGAGCCGATGGTTGGGTGTCTGGTCTGGAATTCAGATCTGAGTCAGCATTGTCAAGTAGAGTTGGCCAAGTAGAGGGGCAGGTTGCCAGCTGAGGCAGAGAGTACTGAGGGAGATGAGGAGAGGAAGGTCTGCATCATGGGGAGATGGAGGAGGTGCTTATACAAAAAACTGAGAAGGAGGCTGGGAGTATGGGCACTGTGCATGTCCCTATGAGTGTGTGCATGGGTGTGTGTACACATATGATCACTAACAATCAGGGTGGGCAGCCCTTGGTCCTGGGAGTATGTTCACTGGGCTTCACAGCTCTCCCCTTCTCCTCTAGCTCTGCTTGCTCAAGAGCCTGTGTGGCTACAGGAGGCAAGCGTGGAGAAAGAAGCTGTGGTTCCTGGGGTGCTGTCTACCTGTGTACAGGTAAGTAAGAAGTGCTCCTTGCTCTTCTTTCTTGCTTTGCCCCCTGTCCCCTTCTCATTACCTGGAGCTTTTAGACCCCACAGGGCTGGCCTCCAGGCATCTAGGAATGGGGCTTCTCTCAGTGGGTGGAGGACAGCCCTGGCAACGAACATGCCCCCTCAGTCAGACCTTCTCCAGGTTGTTAAGTGCCATGTTCTGCTGAGCATCAGGGGGGAAAATAAAGCCAGGATGTGAGCTGTCCTTGTCTCCTAACCGTCATGGTCCCCTGGAGCAAATATTTCTCTCTTGCCTTTTTCTTGCCTGCCACATGCTTACGTCTGCTGGACCCTGGGACTGAAGGGGAATAAAACTGCAAGAGCTTCCTAGCTAATTGTCAATAGCTAAGTCCTGTCATGAAGTTGAGGTCCTTTGGCACTACGCCTCTGGGTGCTATCGCTCAGGAAGGAAAGAGTAGAGAGAGAATTTTAGTTTTGAGGCCTAAGCCCAAGGGCAGATTCTGAGGTACCTCAGAGCCCCATCTGAAAATCCTCCACACAGTGTCTCTGTTCCCAGGCTTGCCAACTCCCCACCATCCTCTTAAGTGTTGGCAGAAGTGGCCCCTGACTGAGCCTGAATGGGTGTGCATTTTAGGAACCAGTCACCTTTGCAGATGTGACTGTGCTCTTCACCCCAGAAGAATGGATGTTTCTAGACTCTGCCCAGAGAAGCCTGTATAGAGATGTGATGCTAGAGAACTACAGGAACCTGGCCTCTGTGGGTAAGACTGCTCTCATCACTTCATCCATACACTCATGCAGCAAGTATGGGGATTCCTGGAACTGTGCTGGTTTGGAAACTGAGAGATGAAAAGGCAGACAAGGCCAGGCTGAGGGACCCCACCGGTGCACGAATCTGTGCTTTGGGCCTCTAATATGCAAATAAGATCTTTGGTTCATCTCTTCCCACCATCCCCCTTCCCTCTGAGATTTATTAGTCTGTCCCATGTTTCCATGCCTGTGGTTTCTGCTCCTGTGTTGAGTGTCTGCCCCCTGGTGGTCAGTGTGCATCATAGCTACCGGACGGTTGGACGGTTGCTTAGGCTTTTATATATACAGATAGTCTAGTGGCCTTGCCATGGAAATGAATATCTATCTGCTGTTTCTGGGCTTCTCAAATACGTACATCCCTGAGCTAGGCTCTCGGTTTTGGGGACTGGAATGTCCCAGTGTCCTTGGGGACCCAGCGAAGGAGCTTGTTCCTTAGTGAAAGAGCTCTCCTGTGCCCATCAACATTTAGGCATGCGCATTTCACTGCTTCCATCTCCAGCGCTCCTAATGACTTCAGAATATCAGCCCTGGCTTTATGGCAGGAGTAGTCTGCCCACACCATGTGTCTTTCCCCACGAGCAGGAGATCAACTATGCAAACTCAGCACCTTTTCCTATTTGGAGCAAAGAGAAGAGCTGTGGATCACTGATAGAGGGATGTTCCCAGGAGTCCAAACAGGTGAGTGCCAGGCATATCAGGGGAGCGCTAGCTCTGATTGGTAAGATGAATGCTCAATTTGGAAAGTGTCAGTAAGGGACATACTTTCATTGCCTTTGACAGAGAAGGCTATTGGTTGAGCTCCCTTAGTGAGTTTCACCTTTTTTCCTTTCTCTTTTTATCTCAAATACATTACTCTGGTTTCATAGAACAATTTATCCCTCCTTCCCTTCACATTTAGCATTTTCATGTGTGTATTTCATCCAGTTCCTCCCTCCTGTAGATTGTTAATACTTTCTCTCAATATCATAGAATACTTTCTTAGTAAATTATCTACTATTTCTATCCTTTGTCTCTGTGATTTCTTGACTCCTCATATAGCCAAATGCCTTAAAATTTTCTTTTGCTCTCTGGTACATTCTCCTTTTCACCCTTTCGTCCCATATTTAAGATCAGTATTTAAAAAATAATCTACTTGTCCTAGCTTACTTTTTTGGTCATCTTGACCCTAGTTTCCTTCTCTGAACATTTAATTTCTCCCCCTCACCTTTAATTCATTTCAGAACCTCAACCTCAACCTCAACCCCAAGAGTCAATTCTTAACCAAGATACTTTTGCGAAGATTGCATCCATTGGCATAGAAAGGGTAAGGTACACAACAGTTATTCTTGGTCCTTTATAGTAGGAAGTCTGGAGTTGCTGCTGGTTAGAAAAACAGCACATGTGGCTAGAGAGAGATTTAAGGCAAGGGATGCTCATGCAAGAGAAAGCATTTTCTTGGTAGAGAGTCTGTGAATGTCATGATGAAGTGGGAGAAAACTTGAAATGTAGATTAAGACACATCTTCATAGAATTCCCACAACTCACCATGTTCCTAAATGGGACACAGACATAGTGTAGTCTTAAACAATTCAGAAAAAGTCTATATCTAAGAAGCCCCATGCAAGTAATGAAAATGATAGCTCTTTGTGGAATTGCATCCACTTGATAGAACTTAGAGTACGAAATAGTATAGACACATGAAAATGGTAAAAGCTTCAGCTGTAGAAATGTTCTTGATTCTACACACAATTTACTTGGGGGAGAAGGTCGATGATTATAATGAAATATTTGGTCTTCACATTTTCCTCAATTGACAGGAGCAACCCCTGCCTGGAGAAAAACTCTATAAGTATAATGAACTTGGGGAACCCTTTAACAGTATCAAACAACTTTTTCAGTGTGAGAGAATTTATGCTGGAGGCAACCCCTATGAATGCCCAGAGAGTGGGAAATCCTTCCAGACCACTCACCTAATAGTGCACGAGAAGACCCATAGTGGGCATAGTGGAGATAAAACCTACGCATGTAACAAATGTGAAAAGTCCTTCAGATACAGCTCTGACCTTATCAGGCACGAGAAGACCCATACCTCAGAGAAGTACTTTGAATGTCAGGAATGTAGGCACGCCTTCAAGTACTCCTCGAATCTGCGACGCCACATGAGGACACACACAGGAGAGAAACCTTTTGAATGTAGTCAGTGTGGGAAAACCTTCACAAGGAACTTTAACCTGATTTTGCACCAGAGAAACCACACGGGTGAGAAGCCCTATGAATGTAAGGACTGTGGGAAAGCTTTTAATCAGCCGTCTTCTCTGAGGAGCCACATGAGAACTCACACTGGAGAGAAGCCCTTTGAATGCAGTCAGTGTGGGAAAGCTTTCAGGGAACATTCGTCACTGAAGACTCATCTGCGAACTCACACCAGAGAGAAACCGTATGAGTGTAACCAGTGTGGAAAGCCCTTCCGGACGAGCACCCATCTGAACGTTCACAAGAGGATCCACACGGGGGAGAAACTTTATGAGTGTACTACTTGTGGTCAGGTGTTGAGTCGTCTCTCAACCCTCAAGAGTCACATGCGAACCCACACTGGAGAGAAGCCCTACGCGTGCCAGGAATGTGGGCGAGCCTTTAGTGAGCCCCTCATCCCTCAGGAAACATGCAAGGACCCACACCGGCAAGAAGCCCTATGCCTGTCAGGAATGCGGGCGAGCCTTTGGTCAGTCTTCACACCTTATTGTACATGTGAGAACACACACTACAGGAAAACCCTATGAATGTAATCAGTGCGAGAAAGCGTTCAGGCACAGCTCTTCACTTACTGTGCATAAAAGGATTCATACCAGGAGAGAAAACGTTAGGAATGGCAGCCTGCCTTTATCAGTGTCTCATACATTTGGTAGGCCTATTGCTAATTAACTTCCAATTTTTAAAAATATAAACATTTGGGCCTATAATAATCTCTTATAGTACTTGTTTAGCTTCATAACATGTTTTGATGTCTAATTTTTGTTTGATTCTAAATATTGTTTTAGTTTCCATTATTAAATCTTTGACACATTACTAACTTGTAATTAGATTTTTAAATAACTATGCATGGTTATATTTTTGTAGAGGTATAATTATTTATAGTGGAATGCATAAATATTATGAGTTAGATGAGTTGGACAGATGTATATATACATGTAACCAACACCCCATTCAAGATATAGAACATTTCTGTCATTCTGGAAAGTTGCTGCATATATCTGGGTGTTTCTTAGTTGCCTTTCTGTTGTTGGTTTCTAATTTAATTACACTGAGCAGAGTGTGTGGTCTTTGGGTTTTTGTTGAGATTTCTTTTGGGTCTAGTATGGCACATCCTACTAGTTGCCTACCAAAACTGCCCTTTCTTCTTTACAACAGAACCTAAGTTTTTTTGTTCACATTGGTAATGTGCACTATTAAAAAACCTCCATCTCCCAGTCCTTGTAGTTAGAGGCCACATTGCCCAGTTCTGGTCAGTATAAGTCGCTGGGTGTGACTCCTAGGAAAGAGATTGGAAAGGAGTGGTTTCATTTAGCCGGCTCCCTCTACTTGCCTTTTGCACAAGCAGACATGGTGTCCAGTGCTAGAGGAGCCATCTGTGACCATGAGGATTAAAGCCACGGGCTAAAGAGAGTATGGCCAGAAGTTACAAACATTCTGGTTTCCCAGTTGGTATCTTTATGTGTCTGCACCAGCCCCGAACTATTTATTTCTGAATATCTTGTTAGATGCACTTCTTACTAGTACATGACATTGGCTTTTTTGAGGAGGGAGGTGGGGAAGGGAAGGCAGAGATGGGCTTATTACAGTCGAATACAATTTCTAACAGATGCACTTAGTATATGGTCAGTTTTTATAAGTGCTTCATGGGTGGTTGAAATCAATGTATTCTACATATGTCTACTAGATCCAGCCTATTATTTGTGTTTCAAAATCTGCACATTTATAATAAATATTGGTCTCTGTCTTAATCAGTTCAGGCTGCTATAACAAAAATACTATAGGCTGGGTGGGTTATAAACAACAGAAATTTATTTCTCACAGTTCTGGAGCCTGGAAATCTAAGATCAAGGCACTAGCAAATTTGACATCTGCTTCCTGGTTCACAGATGGCCAGCTTCTCCCTCTGTACTCACATGACAGAAGGATTGAGGGAACTTTCTGGTGTCCCTTTTATAAGGGCACTAATCCCATCCAAGAGGGGTCTACTCCCATAATCTAATCACCTTCCAAAGGCCCCATCTCCAGCTACCATTGCACTGGGCATTAACATATGAATGTTGGTGGACACAAACATTTGGTCCATAGCAGTTTCTGATCTATCATGTACTAAAAGAGCTACATTTAACTCTTTCACCATGATTTTGGATTGCTGAATAAATCTTGTAATTCTATCAATTTTTAATTTATATATTTTGAAGCAATTAAATAAACTTTTTTGATATTTTTTTTTCTGGTATCTGCAAAGTGTTTCATTTTTTTAATTAAAAAAATTGTTATTGTTGGACATATTACATACTGTATTTTTCCGTGTATAAGACACCCCCATATATAAGATGCCCCCACTTTTCCAACCCCAAATTAAGAAATCAATATTTTAAACATTTTGCTGGTTTTCCTCTTAAGGCCTTCTTTTTTGGCATCTAAAGGAGTTGTTCTTCCTGTTTTCTCCATTGTCTGACCATACACTTGGGGAGGAGGTCCAAATTGTCTCTCTGCAGCTCTGTTTCCAGGCTCTTTTGCATAACTGATTACATTCAGTTTAAATTTTGCAGAATAAGACAATCGCTTACCGGTATTTATCTTTTTATTTTTTGACATCTTTATGGGCTCAGAACACTCTGGTCCCCATTGCACCTCGCACTCTCCACCTCCTCCTCTAATTACAGCATCAGCTGACATCAGTAACAATAAGGCTTGTGATTGGAGGAAGCCTGTTGAACAAGGTATGGGCAACTACACACCTTGAGGCTCCCTCTTTGGTGACTTCCATATATAAGACCCCTTGTTTTCAGTCTAACGATTTTAGAAAAAAAATAGTGCCATATACACAGGAAAATAAAATATGGTATGTCCCCTGTTTCCCCCCATTGACCTCTTCTAGCCTGCCCCCACCACCCGCCCCAGGCCTTCACCCTATTGTCTGCATCCACGGGTTATGCATATATGCATACTAGTTCTTTGGTTGATCTCTTCCCACCTACCCACCCCTGCCTTCCCTCTGAGATTCAACAGTCTGTTCCATGCTTCTATGTCTCTGGATCTATTTTGTCAGTTTATTTTGTTAATTAGATTCCACATATGAGTGAGATCCTGTGTTACTTGTCTTTCTCTGACTGGCTTATTTCACTTAGCATAATACTCTCCAGGTTACTCCATGCTGCATAGTATTCCATGTTGTAAATGTACTACAGCTTTTTAGTCCACTCGTCTACTGATGGGCACTTGGGCTGTTTCCAGATCTTAGCTATTTTAAATTGTGCTGCTATGAACATAGGGGTGCATACATTCTTTCTGATTGGTGTTTCATGTTTCTTAGGATATCCAGTGGAAACTTGGTTCTCAAACCTAAGGCTGTTTGAGAAGTGATTTGTTCGAAAACCGAATCATTTTTTCCCATTAGAAATAATGTAAATTGAATTAATATGTTCCAGACCCCCCAGTGATTTCCTGTTTTAAACTTTCTTACATATAGTACATGTTTAATGTACTGCTTAATCTATAAACACTTCTTTTCTTAAATTTATCAAACCACACCCTACTAGCCTCAAACGAATTTTTTATATAGCACTGCTTCTGAAATCTATCACTGGCTAGTTACTTTTCCTTTATCCAGTAAACAACAGTTTTTCTACCTATTCAGTTGTCTGTGATTGTTGTTTTGTGAGTACTTTCACACCCTTACCAACATTAGCACTCTCGTTTTTTTTTTTTTAACAGCACTCTTGATGGCCTCTTTAGGTTTTTAAAGTTGTGCTAAGCTTTCATTTCTCCAGCAGCAAATGCATTCTCTTCTTTGTTTGTTGCTCGAGAGACACTTTTGTTATGCTGAGGTGAAAAACTGAAGTTTTGGTCGATGACTGAGACATTTTTTTCTGTGAACAACTTGGTCAAGAACTGAATTGTTTGAGATGGGAGACTTTCAAGAAACAGGTTTAACTGTGTTCCTCTAAGTGGGATCACTAGGTCATATGGCAGTTCCATTTTGAGGAAACTTCACACTATTTTCCATAGTGGTTGTATCAGTCTGCATAGCCACCAGCGATGTACTAGGGTTCCTTTTTCTCCACACCCTCTCCCACACTTGTTGATTTATTGATGGTAGCCATTCTGGAAGGTGTGAGGTGGTATCTTATTGTCATTTTAATCTGCATCTCTGATGATTAGTGACATTGAGCATTTTTTCATATGTCACTTGGCCATTTGTATGTCCTCTTTGGAGAAGTTTCTATTCAGGTCCTTTGCCCATTTTTAAATTAGATTACTTATTTTCCTTTTGTTGAGTTGCATGAGTACTTTATATATTTTGGAAATTAACCCCTCTATTTTTAAAAAAACTATTTTTTTTTCAGAGAAGTTTTAGGTTTACAGCAATGTTAAGAGGAAGGTTTACCAATTTTCCTGTCTACCCTTGCCCCCACACATGTATAGCCTCCCTCATTATCAACATCACTCACTGGTATGGTGCATTTGTTACAATTGATGAACCTACGTTGATGCTCACCAAAAGTCCATAGTTTGCATTAGGGTTCACTCTTGGTGTTGTACATTCTATTGCTTGCATACTTTTCAATTGATCATTCTTGTAAAATTTACTTAAAACACCTTCTAATAAATACCTTCCTATGAATATGAGAGCATTTCTCTAAGGTAGACTAAAAGAAGTGGGATTTGTGGGCCCTAGGATATATGCATCTTAAACTTTCATAGCTAGTGCCCTGACTGGTTTGGCTCAGTGGATAGAGCGTCGGCCTGTGGACTGAAGGGTCCCAGGTTCGATTCCGGTCAAGGGCATGTACCTTGGTTGCGGGCACATCCCCAGTGGGGAGTGTGCAGGAGGCAGCTGAATCGATGTTTCTCTCTCATCGATGTTTCCAACTCTCTATCTCTCTCCCTTCCTGTCTCTAAAAAATCAATAAAATATATTTAAAAAAAAAACTTTCATAGCTAGTAACAAATTGCTGAATAAAGTAAGTGTGTATATTAATTTATCCTAGTACTTAATGAGAATATCCATTTCACTCTGGTCTAACCAATGTTGAATGTTATCCAACTCTATATTTTTCTAATTTCTGCAATATTAGCTTCTTGTATTAATTTCAGTATTCTTGATTACTATGTCTTAGCATTTTTCTTTTTCTGTTAATGACCTATAATCTTCCAATACATTTATAGCATTTTATCATTGCAATTTAAAAATTACTTTAAATTATGGATTAATCTCTTATTAACATTAAAATATTTTACATAGTCTTCAGGCTTTATTAATGGTGATCTTTATCATCCAGAAACTTTAAGTAGTAAAGCTTGTTAGTTTTTTCTATGCCTTTGGATTTTGATTAAAGGTATGTTGTTAATGAAATATTAAATTGTGGCCTCTATTTTCTTTTGAAATTTCCCATATGTTCATACATATTGCCCCTTTTCCAGGAGAATGGGGTTTCTCAACTTTGGGGTAACAGAAGAAAACATGACATTTCCTGTTAAAAGTTATTCTCTTTACACCTTATATGTTTTTGTAGACATTTTCTAGTTTTTAATAGTGAAAAGGTAGACATCTGTTTTTAGCATCTGTATAATATAAGGGAGTTTAGAACAGAACTTCTCAACCTCAGCATTATTGACATTTGGGGGGCTGGATACTTTTTTTGTGGCTGGGGCTGTCCTGTACATTGTACAATGCTGAGCAGAATCTCTTGCCTGCACTTACTACAGTAGGTACCCCTCCAGCTGTGAAACTAAAGATGTCTCCAGAAATTGCCAAATGTTCCCTAGGACAAAATGCCCCCCAGGTGATAACTACTACTTTAGAGCCTTTAACATATTATTCATAATTATTAAAATTCTGTGTCTGTTAGTTTAGCCCTCAGTCTGGTTGTGTTGAACACTTCATGGACTGTTTTTGCTGATGTATTTCATAATTTTTGGTTGAATGTTGGACAATGTGTGTAGAACAGTGGACACTGAGGTTTATATTATTAATTAATGGCAATAGGCACACCTATATTTTTACTAGAATATTTTTGAGAGAGCTATCTAGTGGTAGTCATTGCATCTGGGCTTCATTATATTCTAGTGCTACCTTGTTATCTTGTGCTTATGGTGGGGCTGTTTTGACAGAGGGTTTTCATCATTTGCTTCACTGTCAGCTGTAGACCTTTCCTGTGAAGCTGCATCTCAGAGAGGGTCTCTCCACATTTCTGCCACCCCCGCCCCCCCAGAGACTCTATACTATCATGATTACTCACACTTGGCCCTTAGCAATTCATTAAATATTTAGGTGAATTATTTTCAACTATTCGTTTTGCATCCAAATCACTTCCTTTGTGCTCTGCCATAAATGAACCAGTTCTCCTGATGGTCTCTCCTTGGATGATCCTGTCTTTCCTTAGATTTTAGGTTACTTTGTTGCCCTTTACCTCAATTGTCTTATGGGTTTAAGAAAATTAATGACTTTGTAGTTTACATGGATTTTTTTTATTGTTAGGTTGGGAACAATACTCATTTCCATTTTTTGTTTGCTAGGCAGAGAAGTTCAGATTCTCTCAATTTTCTCCTAATATTTTAATAATATTGTTTTATCATTTTTGGATTTTAAATCCATTACCATATAGCCATGCAAATTTATAGTTTTATAAGATAACTACAAAATTACTTTTGTGCAGAGGAAAAGACATTTTCTGCACACCTAGGAATTTGTATTAATAATAGCTAATATATTTACTTTTATGATACCTTTATTTACAATTTTTAAATTGAATTTGGAATGGTACAAGAAACACTCATGTACCCTTTAGAGTCAACAATTATATAGTGTCACATTAGAAGTCTTAATGTATATACATACATATACATTTTCTTGCTAAAACCTTTGATAGTGGCAGATATCATGACACTTCATTCTTCAATATTTACCAATACCTGGTAAATATTGAAGAATCTAAAGAATATTCTCCTCATAACTAGAATACTATTATTACAAACACCAAAGAATATTAGCAATTTAATAACTTTAATTTTAATAATTGATACATATTTAAATTATTTCAGTTGCTTCCAAAATATTTTTATAGCTGTATATTTGAATCAGAATACCACTTACTGGTAGATTGACATTGAATTTGATTGTTATGTTGCTTTTATCTGGTTTCTAGAATAGACTTAGTCACTTTTTAAGATGATATTATCGCCGAAACCGGTTTGGCTCAGTGGATAGAGCGTCAGCCTGCGGACTGAAGGGTCCCAGGTTCGATTCCGGTCAAGGGCATGTACCTGGGTTGCGGGCACATCCCCAGTGGGAGATGTGCAGGAGGCAGCTGATCGATGTTTCTAACTCTCTATCTCTCTCCCTTCCTCTCTGTAAAAAATCAATAAAATATATTAAAAAAAAGATGATATTATCTTTTTAAATGATACTGACTTTAGAAGAGTCCAGATCACCTGGCTTGTTGAATGCACTATGTTCTTGATTTGCCTGATTGTTTCCTCATGATGTTATTTAACTTGTTATTCTGTTCCATGTATTTTATGTATACTAATACTCAGGTCTGAAAGAACAGGTCCCAGCAAGCTCTTTCTGTCATGGGCCAGTGAGTAAATATTTTGGCTTTGGGATTTTGCAGTGTCTTTCACAACAACTTAACTCTGACATTGTAGTATGAAAGGAGGCATAGAAAATCCATCAACACATGACTGTGGATGTGTTCCAATAAAAGTTTATTTATAAAAGCAGGCAGATGCTTGGATTTAGCCTGCATGTTATAGTTTCCCAACCCTTGATTGATACACTGGATTAGATTTTGGTTAGACTGATTTGTCAATAATTCTTTATTTACACACATAGGATGTTGTAAAGTCATGTCTTATCAGGAGTTAATGTTAGGTTGCCCACTATTGACAATGTTAAGCTGATCATTAAGGTCATACGGTGACTGTCAGATTTCCCTATTGTAAATTTGGCCCTTGTAATTAATCAGTAATCTGTGAGGTGTTTTTTTTTTTTTTTTTTTTTTTTGGCAGTGTGGGAGTAGCCTGTCCTCCAACAGCCTTTTACATTTTGTTTTAGTGGCCATTTACTTGATATTGAAAAATCATAATTTTCTAATTTTATCTCATCTTTTACAATTATTAGCTGATATTTTTAGGTATCACTATGGACCATGGATGTTTTTAATGTTATACCCATTTACAGGCATTTCCCATATGTTCAAATTATACAAATGTGGTCCATGGAAACCCATAGGGAAATTCTTCCAGGTGAAATTGCTTTGGATTGGGTTTTGCCTAGATGAAATAATACATATATATTGCACACAACTCAAATTTATAAAATGTAAGGATGTAGAAACTCTATTGATTTTACTCTAACATTTTTTTTTTACATATAAGCTTTGTGAAATCAGGAACTGGATCTGTCTTGATCTGTGTACAGCACATGGTGAGTAAGAGAAATATTTTTAAATTAAAAATTAGTAAGTCTTTTGAAATGAAGAGTGAAGAAGTCAAGGCATGTAGGTAGGGAGGCCAAATACAGGTATTTAGCTGAACATTACTTTACTCTTTTATGTTGTTATAAGGTAGACCTTTGATGATGGTTTTCCTTGTTATATATATTTAACTTGAGGAACACTTTTGAAGAAAAACAGGTTGGAATGGAGAGCTTAACCCAAGACAACTGAGGAATTGGGTCATAGCTCCTTGACTGTGCTGGGATTGAGCTGAGCATGCTGTGTGGACCAGAAGGCCCCAATTCTCTAGCAACTAAATGTCAAACATTTCCTGTATACTTTTCTCCCACAATGGTGCCATGAAGAGTTACTTATAACAGATTCAAAAAGTATTTTCTATTTCTTTGCCCAAAGGATGACAGTTCAGTGTTTTCCTCATTTTCCAGGAGACAGGATCATCTGGTTTAGTTGTTAATTTCATTCTCCTGAGATGGAAGGGATAAAAATGATACTGTATTAAAAAGTGTAAGACGTGTACTCTGAAAACTATGAAAGATTGTCAAAAGAAGTCAAACAACCTAAAGAAATGGAAAAGTATTGCATGTTCATGGATCGGAAGACTTACTAGTTAAGATTTCAGAACCTCCACATTGATCTATAGATTCAACACAATGCTTATCAATATCTCAGTTAATTTTTTCTCAGAAATTAACAAGCACATCGTAAAATTTATATGGGACTTAAAAAGGTCCAGAACAGCTGAAACAATCTTGATAAAAAAGAAAAAATTTGTGGAGTCAATTCCCCAATTTCAAACTTGCTACAAACTATAGTAATCAAGATAGATGATGGAAGAGAGTTAAGTGTCCAAAAATAAAACCTTATATTTATCATGAATTGCTTTTGACAAGGATGTCAGGATAATTCACCGATGGAAAGAACAATCTTTTCAATAAATGATGTTGGGAAAACTGGATAGCCACATGTAAAAGAATGTGTATGTCACACTGTAAAAACCTCAAACCATTAAAAATTCTAAATAAATCATATACCTAAATGTAATAACTAAAACTATGAATGTTTTGAAAGAAAACATGTATAAATCTTATGGGCGTTAGTCAATTCTTTTTTAAATATGATATCTAAAGCACAAGTAAACAAAAAAATAGATAATTTTCACTCTTACAAAGTAAAAAAAAATTATGCACCAATTGGATCAAGAGTGTGAAAAACCAATCAAAAGAATGGGAGAAAAAATTGAAAATCATATGTCTGCCAAGGGACTTGTGTCCAGAACATATGTGGAATTTTTACAACTTATCAATAAAAGATAAATGACTGAATTAAAAATGGCAAGAGGATTTGAATAGCTATTGCTTCAAAGAAGATATGCAAAAGGCTAATAACCACGTGAAAAGATGTTCAATATGATTAGGGAAACACAAACCAAAAGCTTAATTCACTGTACACCAACTAAGGTATAAAAAACTAGCCCTAGACAGTGTGGTTCAGATGCTTGGCTCATCGCCCTGTGCACTGAAGGGTCTTGAGTTTGATACCCAGTCAGGGCTCATACCCAGGTTGCAGGTTCCGTCACTGGTCGGGGCACATATGGTAGACAACAGTTCGATGTTTCTCTCTTACATTGATGTTTTTCTTTCTTTCCCTCTCTCTCTAAAATCTATTTTAGGATGAGGATTAAAAAAAGCAAAAGCAAAAAACTAAACCACCACAAGTTTTTGTGAGGATGTGGAGGAAATTGGAACCCTTATATATTTGGTCTTGATCCTCGTGGAATTGGGGAACAATTTTGGGGATTTTTATGCAACATGGTAGAATATCAAATTTTTGTTTTGAGAAGGTAACAACTTGTGAACAACTGTTGCAGGAGAGAATAGATGAGAAAAACCAGTTAGGAGGATTTTGCAATACAGCCAAGGAAAGATGACAGCTGCATTTAGGGAGGAGGTGATGGAGCCAGTATTAACAAGACAGATCTATGAGTACTGAGGAGGAAATATTAACATGATTTAGCAATGGACTGGTTTGGGGTAGAACAGGGTAGGAAAGAGGATAAAATTAATGATTTTTTCAGGTCCTGACTAGTGCAATGAGATGAATGGAAATGTCACTGAAAGAGATGAGAAACCCTGAAGAGGATTAAATTGGTGAAAAAATGATGAACTCTTTTATGGCCATGTTGGATTGCTTCTGAGATATGTAAGTAAAGGTGTTAAGTAAGCAATTGGAAATTGTGGTCTAGGGCTCAAAGGTAATTCAGGACTAGAGAAACTATTTGGCTATTATTTCCTTCTGCATAACTTATTGAGTCCCTGTAGACAGGATTGTCTATCAGGAGACTATAGTATAACTAGAGGCCCGGTGCATGAAATTCATGCATGGGTAGGGTCCCTAGGCCTAGCCGGCAATCAGGGCCAACTGGGGATTCCAGGAACAATTGTAGATTCTTAAGTAAAGTCTCAAACCCAACCTAACACTTATTTTACTAACTTTTATGACTATATATGCCATGTATTTATTGTTCTTTATATACAGGGTAGCATGGAATGAGTTGGGATAAAGGCTGGTGCTGTGACTGTGCGGTTTGAGCATCACAGCTTCAGATCATTAGTTTCTGCTTGTTGAGCTGACCAACCGTAGCTTCTCTCTCTGCTTATGAGGAAATGTTTTGTATCTTTTCACTAAGTAAAATTAAAAACCACATGCACCATGTCTCACAAAGTGAGTGCTCTACACATGTGAGAAGGTAATCATGGGCAAGGGTCAAGGTGAGTACATCAACACAGCGAGTGGAATGGAGGAAGACCTCCATTGTTGACATGGAAATGCCTTGGGGTGGGTCCACAAGTAAACTCAGTGGGAGCCATCCTAGGGCATCACTGGCTATATGTCAGGTTGTCCAGTGTGATGGGCATGAGCTACTAAAGTGGATCAGCTAGTGAAGTGCTTTGGGAGCAATATGTGATCTTACCACATTGTCTTTGGAGACTTCAGACATAGCCCTGCTGGAGAGTGTATACTTCTCAGAGATGGCTTTGGATTCCTTGATCCCTTTCAACCATTTCCGGTATTGCTCCTGGACCTACAGAAGCAAAGCATGCTCTGAGTCAGCTCACTGAGAGGGGCGAGAGTGGAAAATCCTGGGTGGAAGCCGGACAATAGTACCTGCTGGCTGAGGAGACAGTACACCAGGAAGATGAAGACGCCCTGCAGGCTGTTGATGATGGTGAAGAGATAGGCCATGGCGTGAGCAGCTGGACCCACCTGCAGGATTCCCAGACACCATGTGCAGCCCAAGATGAAGAGCTGAGCTGTCGCTTTAAATGTCAACATCCTGGGTAGAAGGAAAAGAGAGGTCCGTGGTGCATCCAGAACAACAGAATCAAGGTCACCCTTATCTGTACCCCAGGGATGCATGACTGAGTTGTGATCAACTTTGATAACTGCTCTCAATGATCCTCTGAACAGAAATGCTATCAGAGTTTATCATGTCATTTTGACTTCGACTGAAGTACTAACTTCAGTTCTTGAACATCTCCCATCTCGAACAGTTTGGTCCTCAATCAAGTTGTTAATGGAAAAAATGTCTTGGTTAACTTCAGTTCTCGACCTAATAACCATTTTCATGCTGATACATGATTATGACAAAAAGTGTCTCTCAGGCCACAAACAAAGGAGAAAACATGCCAATTCGAGTCAGTTTACAGCTAAACCGTGCCTTGTTAACATCTCAGGAAATTGTGCTGTGAATATTTTATTATTTATTTATTTATTTATTTATTTATTTATTTATTTATGTTTTTTGCTGGTGAAATGGACGACTAACACACTTTTAAAACATGAAGAGGCCATCAAGAGTGCTGATGTTGGTAAGGGTGTGAAAGTGCTCATGAAACAATAAAGGCAATTGAAGAGGTAGAAAGATTGTTATTGAGTTGGATAAATGAAAAGCAGTTAGCCAATGACAGCATTTCAGAGGCAATGACACGTGAAAAAGTGAAGATGCTGCATACTGACCTCTAGAAAGATACCCTTGAATGAGTGCTGAAAGTGATTAGTTTAAGGCTAGCAGGGAGTGGTTCGATAAATTTAAGAAAAGAAGTGTTTGTTCGTAGATTAAACAGTACATTAGACATGTACTGTATACAGGAAAGGTTAAAACGGAACCATTTGAGGGGTCTGGAACAAATTAATTCAGTTTACATTATTTCTAATGGGAAAAAATGATTTTGTTTTCCAACACCGCTTCTTGAACAGCCTTTCAGAATGAATTAAGTTCAAGAACCGAGGTTCCGCTGTAGTGATAATTCATAATGTGGGTTTCAAAAAGATCATGATGTTTCATGAATGTCCCTAATTTCCTTCAACTGGCATTACTGGAGACGTTCTGTGTACCTGATTCTCTGTGCTGGGTCTTGGGTATTAAAAATAAAGATAATTTCTGTTTTCACAAACCTTATAGTCTCATGGAAAGATGAAAACAAACAGTCACATAATATTTATTATGTGTGAGGTACCTCGGCCCAGGTCCCACCCAACACTATTCCTATTTTTTCACTCTCCATGAACTGAGTGTGAGCATGATTTGCCTAGAATAGAGGTCATTCATTCTGTGCTAAGTTTAGGAAAACAAAGGATGCCCCTAGCCTTTCACAAGATGTGATATGTGGAGAAAGAACCTGATTTTCTCCAGGTGTAGGAGTGGAGAGGGCAGAGGGAAGAGCATCCATGAAGGTGTGGGCATGAATGTGCATGCTGGGTTCTGGGAACAGTTATGTGATTTCCTAAGTGTTCTATAAAGATAAAAATGTTCTGAGACCTTTTTCATAGGACCATGGAAGTAATTCATGTTTAAGAGAACAAAGTCAATTTTCTCTGTAGCTGAGATAATTTCATGCTCGAGTTATGGAGAAACAAAATATTTTTGACTTGGGTTTCAGCAGCAAACCACACTACCTGAGCTGGTTTCCAGAGAGGGTGGCTGCACCTCTCTCCTGACCCCTCAGAAGCCCCATGAAAGGACATCAGGAGCTTGGAACCATAGGGTATTGCTCCTGGACCATGCTTTGTATGGGGCGGTGTGCACCTCCGACCCCTCTCACCTCGTGTTCTGGAGGGTGGACACGTCCCTGTTGAGTGAGGAGAGCTTGGTTTTCAGAATCCAGAAGGTCATCAGAAAGAAAGCCAAGTTAATCTGCAGAAACCCCATAAGGCATATTGAATATATTCCATCTGTACACCTTCCTCCTGGCTCATCCAACACCTATCTCAGCAGGTAAGACACGTTTATATTTCATATCAGTCATAGAAAAAGGGACCATCTAGTAACACAGGCTTATGCTTGTCCTGTAACTGGGGTGATCAACTTGTCCCAGTTTTGATGGCAATCTCCACATTTTAGCACTGAAAGTGAGAGGAAATCCCTTTATCCTGGTTTTAAAAGAGAAATTTTGCCTCTTGTAAGTTTCCTCAGTCCTGGGCAAACTTTAAGGATTTCTCATCCTGCCTGTAACCGCCCTTATACACCCGCTCTTTGATAGACCCTCAGCTGGGCAGGAAGCATGCTCTCATGTTATCCTTTACTCACAGAGAAGATGGTGCAGACGGGGCCAAGGAAGGTCCATATAAATCCCTTTTGTGTGCTGAGCCAGCATCTAAAATAGAGATGGAAAGAGACTGAAGAATCTATTTGCCTTTGTGGATAAAGACTTGGTAGACATATCCTTTACCACCCATAGTTTCTTCTTCCTCCTATTGCTAATATTGTTTCTTTTTGATAAGAACCTTTAAGCTTAGATCTATCCTCTTACTAAATTTTAAGTATACAATACAATATTGTTAATTATTCCCTATACTCTAATAGATCTTATCTTATTACTCTTTCATAACTGAAACTTTGTGTATGCCCTTGATGGTGGTGCTCGTCCTGGTTCTATACTTAAATTCAAACTCATTAGGTTACATACCTTAACTATGTAGAGCATTGTATAAATCAATCATGCCATAATAATGTTTTTGAAAAGATAAAATTATTTTAAAATGTCTGTCAGGTATGCTGGCAGAAGAAGATATACATTTTTAAATGAAAAGATAAATATCAATAAGTAAATTAAGTTATGGTTTATTGGACAAATATTGTGTTGCCTCTGTATCAGGACCTCTGCTTGACCTGAGACCCAACTGCAATGGAGGTAGTCTGGTCTCAGTCCTCAGGGAAGGTCACTAATTAGACCAGGGGTCCTCAAACTTTTTAAACAGGGGGCCAGTTCACTGTCCCTCAGACCGTTGGAGGGCTGGACTATAGTTTAGAAAAAAAAACTATGAACAAATTCCTATGCACACTGCACATATCTTATTTTGAAGTAAAAAAACAAAACGGGAACAAATACAATACTTGTATTTACATGTGGCCCGCGGGCCGTAGTTTGAGGACCCCTGAGTTAGACAATAGAAACAATCAAGATGATGAGTTTTACGGTCAAGTGTGAGGAGCTATGAGAACACATAGTAGACAGCTTGCCTAGTCGGTGGTATAGGAGATTAGGTAGTTGGGAAGGGTTCCCTGAGGGAACTGATTGTGTTTATTCTGAGATATGAATGGATGAGCAGGCGTATAGAAGGTGAAAAAATTGGGGACATGCAAGATGATAGTAAAAAAAGATGATGACAGTAACCTGATAATAATACTAAGGTAGGGCTCATGTGCATTACATAATTTATTCCTCATGACAACACTGAGACTCAAGTGACCACAGGTTGGCATCTAATACTTAAGGAAACATAGTACATCAAGGCCACACTGATAGAAATGATAGAACTGGAAATGACCCCATGTGAGATACTTGTGAATGAGTTGGGAGGTGTGAGTACCATGAAATTAGCTGGACCCACCAGAAGACTCAAAGCCAACACTACTAAGACAATGCTGGTAAACTGCACCCTGTGGGTCAAATGGGGTCACCACCTGATTTTGTAAATGTGCTTTACGGGAACACAATTGCACTCATTCTCTTGCATATTGTCTACGGCAGCTCTTGTGCTACAAGGACAGAGGTGAGTCATTGCAACAGAGAGTACATGGTCCGCAAAGTTGCAGCCCTTTACAGTTTGCTGACTTTTATGCAAGCTATATAGGAAGGCCATCTGACCAGGGCTACTCCGATGTTGGTGAACATTAATTATTTCAACATAGGAGTATGTTGTAAATGCCGGATGGTCTGTATTTGATCCCAGTTCTGCCACCAACCATCTGTGTGATTTGGACCATGTCAGAAATCTCTGTACCTCAATTTCCTCACTTGCAAAACTCATATAATACCATTCTACCTCAGCGGGTTGTTGGGAGGATGACTTGAGCTGATACATAAAAAATATTGGGAATATAGATTTCATGTCCAAAGTGATTTCTAAATCTTAGCTCTGGTCATCACAATTTCATCATCTAAATAATCCCCCCTCCCCATTTTTTTCTCTCCCACTTTTTTTAATTAAGGAGAGAAGTAGGTTACACCAACCAATGCCATCCCTTCATTTTCATTTTGTTTCCTAGAATATTTAAAACAGTCCCCTCAATTAATGCAATGAGTATTATATTAAAATACATTTACTGATATATAAGATAAGATTAAAATTATGTACAATAGTTTTAAATGTAACCTAGTCTTTAATATAATTATAATTAATATTTAAAATAATTAAATCTAAAATATAAAAATCAGCTTCTTTATTTTAACCATGTATTAATTTATGATTGATTTTATTATTATAAAAGTATAGGTAATGAATGTAATGCACAATTAATATTATATAAACATATAATTATTAACATACTATAATTAACATTTGAAACAATGAAATTTTAAGTTCCTAATAACAGTCACTTCAAGGAATATAATCATGGAACCAGGAAGATGTCTTTGGGTCGTTATTACTGTTTTCCTATACCTATCATATTCTAGTGAAATAAAAGTGCTACATTGGTTCTCTGCTGACCATGTGGAGAAGATGAGGACAGTGTTAACTTTAATTTACCGGGCAGGTGTTCCATAAAGGTGAGGCCTGGAAGCTGCGGAAATGACCACAATCACAGCTGGGACGCCGTAGCCCACAGGGAGCATGAACTTCTTCATGAACCTGCTCATGCTGGAGTAGTTGACCACCGTCAGGTTGCGTGCAGTGAGGAAGAGGTGCAGGCCCTCCAGCAGCATCCAGGTGAAGGAGGCCAGGTAGAGATAGTGTAAGGCACCGGCGATGATGGCGCACAGCACCTGGGGAGGAGTGAGAGTCACCAGGTGGGATTGTCAAGGTGAAGTGTGGACCCAGGACCTCTCCTATACTTTTTTTGGGAACTCTGATGTATATGAAGGAAATGTCAAAAAAGGGGGTATCTTCTAGTTGGGTCAGTCATTGTGAAATTGGCTACTCACCCCTGTGACATTCCTAAAACACAAGGCCATTATATTAAGATGTTCAATGCAGCATGGCACCATGAACTCCACATCCCACAGGGAGGACAGATGTCCTTTGAGACAGTGTCAGTACCTTGTTCTCAGTACTGTCGATGGCCGTGAGGAAGAGCAGGTGGGCCAGGAAGAGGCAGAGCGAGAGATGCAGGTGGAGTGAGGTGCAGGTGTTCTGGATGGCTTTGCACAGCAGGAAGGTGAGAGCCGCCAGGAAGAGGCACAGCAGAGAGAGGCTCAGCCCCAGGTAGGTGATCACAGCCAGGGCGGGATCATCATCCTGGAACCCAGCAAAGAGGAGATGTCAGTTATACTTTCCTGGGCTGGGTTAATAACTCTTACACCATATTTAGTTTTATTTTTCAGTGTAACAAAATCAGGAATGGAGGAGCCATCTAAATTTGTGATGTTTGTGGGTAATCTAGAGTTTTATGGGTTCTAAATGGATTAATTCAGACCCTGGAAGAATTGAGGGATAGAAGAGACCTTACTCAAGATCAAGTCCTGGAATTCAAAGGGTTGATTTATTTTAAAATATTTTTGCCCTAGTCAGTTTGGCTCAGTGGAAAGAGCATTGGCCTGTGGACTGAAGGGTCCCAGGTTTGATTCTGGTCAAGGGCACGTACCTCAGTTGCAGGCTCGATTCCTATCCCTGGTCGGGTGTGCAAAGGCAGCCAGTCAATGTGTCTCTCTCACATTGATATTTCTTTCTCTCTGTCTCTCTCTCCCTTCCACTCTCTCTTAAAATGGAAAAATAGCTTCAGGTGAGGATTAACAACAACAACAAAAGAATATCACTGAAGAAAAATTTCCTAGCTGGTGTGGCTCAGTGATTGAGTGTTGACCCATGAACCAGGAGATCACGGTTTGATTCCCGGTCAGGGCACATGTACGGGGTGTGGGCTCAATCCCCAGTAGGGAGGTGTGCAGAAGGCAGGTGATTGATGATTCTCTCTCATCATTGATGTTTCTATCTCCCTCTCCTTTCCTCTCTGAAATCAATAAAAACATAAAATAAAGTATATTTATTGATTTTTAGAGAGAGAGGAAGGGAGAGGGTGATAAAGGGAGAAACATTGATATGAGAGGAAACATCAGTTGCCTCTTTCACAACCCCATGGAAATAGAGCCTGCATCCCAGGCATGTGCCCTGATTGGGAATCGAACCAGCAACTTTTTGTACACTGGACAATGCCCAAACAACTGAGCTACACGGGCCAGGCATAGGGTTTATTTTTCTTTAGACTTTTGGGCATGACTAAGCTTATAGATTATCATGTGAGAAGAAGGAAGTGTGTGTAAACAATTGCAACATTATTTATTAGCAAATGATCAAAAGAAAACCCCACTATAAAAGGTCTTGATGTGTAATTTACAAAGCATTCACAAAATGAAATGCTTTGTGGCAATTAAAATAATGAAGTGTCTCTTTGTAGGCTGGAATAGAAAATTCTCTTAGATGCAATAAATAAAACACAATTTGCACAACAGTGAAAAACACACACACACTCCACCAAGTCTTTGAGAAGAGAAAAGCCAAAGAACCAATACATGCATTATTTTTATACAGGGTGAGGCAAAAGTAGGTTTACAGTTGTGAGGATGTGAAAAACAGAGTTTATTCTTATACTGTTATTTGCTAGTTATTATATTATTTTCCGTACAAACAACTATAGACCTACTTTTGCCGACCCTATATGTATAAAATATCCAAAGAAAAATGTAGGAGAAACTAACAACTTTGGTTGAGGCAAGAGGAACTAAGTGGTTTCTCATTCTGTTTGAATTTGAAATGTAAATACTTTGAGTCTTCAATAAATGTAAAACAGAAAAACATACATTGTTGAGAAAACCAAGATGGCGGCATAGGTAAACACCGGAGTTTGCTGCCTCGCACAACCACTTCAAAAATACAACTAAAAGACGGAATGGGCATCATCCAGAACCACAGGAAGGCTGGCTGAGTGGAAATTCTACAACTAGAAGGAAAGAGAAAAGCATACCGAGACTCAGAGGAGGTGCAGTGTGGAAGTAAAATACTAAGGTACAGAGGCACATGCGGAGCAGGCTGGCGGCTGAGGGCGCGATTGTCTTTTTCAATCAGGAGGGAGTCTCAAGCTCTGAGCTCCAGTTCCGGGCGAGTCTCTGGGGACCCAGACTCGTACGGGAGAAGCAGAACTGTCTGGCATCGGTTGGAACTCGAGGGCAGCTTTCTCTCGGAGGTGCTTGCAGCAATTGCCGAGACACTGAGAAAGCGGGGCCTCTGAGGGCAGCCATAACTGCTAGCCCCGTCCTGTTGATCCCGTGGGACCTGCCCCGCCCAAGCCCTGCACAGAGGCTTTTGCTGGATAGCCTCAGGCAGAGGCTAGATTAGCACCTCCCTAGAGAACCAGGAGCCAGTGTGCCCAGTGGTCAGAGTGGGACCATCCAGTGTGCAGCTCCTCGGATCCATAAAAGACACACTCAGGGGGCAGACTCAGTGAGCATCAAAGCCCCAATGAAGCAAGTCTTGCCCCGGAGGGGTGTCTCCAGCACAGAAGTTCTCCCACTGCAGACACAGCTGATTCTCACAGCCAATTGGCCAGGAGGTCAATCCCTCTCAGTGTGACTTACAACAATCAAGGCTTAACTACAACAAGACTGTGCACAAAGACCACAAGGGGGTGCACCAAGAGTGTCCTCCTCAGGTAATTGGGGAAGCTGAACCACTGGGCCCTAGAAGACACTTAGCACAGAAAACCACTTTATCAACACAGGGAAGCATAAAAAATGCAGAGACAAAGAAAAAGGACACAAATGACAGAAATGGAGGAAAGCAAACTGCTGGCTATAGAGTTCAAAACC